CTTTGTGTGTAACATCATTTTGAAGGGTTTTTATGACAAAATTACTTCAACGTAGACAGACATGATGTGACATGGTTTAGTGTACACTTTTGATAACTGTAATGTAGTCCAGCACTAACCAGGAATACTTCTTTCAATTATAATATGAACAAAGTTGATTCAGTAGGGTGTCTTGAGAACCATGATACCAATATTACAATTCTGAACCATGTGAATTTAACTTGAAAGTGAGGGTTTCATTTATGGCCCTGTCAATAGCAATGTAAGTTCTTCATTTTTTCATTGGTGTGGTTTTATTGAATAAAATTTGCAACATTACACTTTCCAAACAGACTGGCATTAGAATTTTTAGCCATTTTTGGTGGCAAGCCCCAGCGGGTATTACTCAGTGCTCATCATCATCTACTGGGATGGTGTTAAGCTCAAAAGTGTTTGTAAGAACCTTTTGCTGAGTGCAGAAAGGGATGTGTGAGGTAGCCTCTGCCTTTCCTGTGTAATACACTAAACAAGACCACCAATTTTAGATCCAAAGCTTTTAATTAGTGATAGTGGGGTGTATCACAAGATACAATGTTGTTTAACAGATGGACAGGTGCTAAAATGGGTTGTTTGTTATGTATAAGATATTGTAATACTGTATGTAAGGGTTGTTATAATTGTAAAACCAAAAGATTGGGGAAAAATATATATTATGGAGTGAGCAGTGATTTGCCTGTTATGTGGGGAAATGAATGCAGGAAGTCTTCTAGGGAGAAGTTACAAGCTGGGAGGAAAGGCCCCTTATATAGACAACAATGAGGTATTTTGGCTCCAGGGGAGCCAGGAATGAGGGATTTTGGCTGGTTGTAAAGCCTTACATGAGCTAATTTGGCCAAGATGGAAGAAAAAACGAGGGATTTTGGCTAGTGGTAAAGCCTACATGATGTGATTTGAGAAGTTGAGTGGTTTCCGCAGAATTGACAAGCTGTGCAATGGTTGCTATGCAGCCTAGCAACCTACAGGCTGTGTTCTGTAAGGGGCATGATGTCATCCTGTATGTCAAGGCTGTATGCATCACATGACAGGTTGCCTAGGTAGCCTGTATGCTGTGCCTGCATACTTCCATTGTACTTGATTGAGGCGTACAGATGCCAGATCACATGGCCCGGAGGGGTGACATGTGTACCTGATATCCTTGTAACATGTAAGGGTGCTTGACCCCCCTACCTATGAGTGAAAGAGGGGTGTAAAATGTAACACAGAGGGGTTACATGTGTCCAAGCCTGCTCCTCAAGGGTAATTTTTGCCCAGGAATCCCTTCCTGGAGCCATATTTGGTGTAATATTATTGTATATACAAGAAATATGAGATTTTTGAAGTTGTTGGATGGGAACCCATAAAGTATCCCACAACGGTTGATAATAGAAAGTAATATGTGTGATGTGTTTTTTTAGCATTTGCAGTAACAAGGGAACAAGGGAGGATGTGAACCTGAGCCTCTTATGTGGCAACAGGACACAAGAGAGTAGAGGGAACTACTGGTTGGATTTCAAGGAAGAAGAGAAATACAACCAGAAGTGAGAGAAAGAAAGGGAAAGAGAGAGAAAAGGAAATAGAAACAAATATGTAAAGAAATAAAAATTTTCATTTTGTTTTATTTTTATTTGATTGTATCTGCAGTCTTACTTTCCTCTTGTGGGATGGCTGATAAGCTGTCAAAGACTAGCCTCTTCTACAAAGGAAACTGTAGAAGGTTTGAGTTTGAATATACTCAGAACTATCCACAATTTTTTAGATCTAGGATCAAGGCTCTTTGGAAACCTCTGTGGTTTTCAGGTTTACCACCAAACAATGAGATGAATAATACAATTGATTTGAGCTTAAGAGAGAGTGAGTTAGAGAGAAAGATATGGTTGAAGAACCATGAGTGAGACTATGATAACAGAGCAACAAGGAAAATCAAGCAACAAGAAAGAGTACTAACTGTCAGAGTCCTAGCACAATCCCGTGGAGGTGTGACTGGGAGTTGGTATCCTTTTGACAAGTTAAGCGCCAAGCGGTAACGGGGTTGGTTGGTTTGTTGGTGGTTCTGTTTCAAAGTGAGTCTGAAAAACTGTTGAGTTTTCACCTCTTCTTCCTACTCTTCCCCAAAACAGTCCCTCTTTCCTTTACTTTCTTCCCCTCTTACTTTTCTTCAATCATCTTGAAATAGACTGAATTATAGTTTGTCATAGCTGGTTTTTTGTTGAATCTTATGCATCTTAGTAGTCTAATTAGAACTCACAATAGCAATTTATCAACAACTCTTGTCTTAATGATTGACTTCTTTCTTTTTCTATTTTCATTATCTGATTTATTAAAAGATAATTGTTTAGAATTAACGCCCCTAAACATCTGTGGTAGAAATTCTGATTTTTCTTGATTAATTATTCTTGCTTGACTAAAAGAGACTGAGAAGTCCCGCTATGAATGTTTCTTCCAAGACCTCATAATTTTCTGTCTCTTAGTTTTTATTCAACATTCCTTTTTTATTCAATATGCCTCGACCACAGTTTGACCACATGTATTTAGTCTATTTAATCTGGCTATTTACCTGTGAATGAAAATCATTGGTTCTTTCACTCATTTTCCGTGAACCTCTCCCAAAAAAGACCCTTTACCTTTTTTGTGCCCTTTTCTCAAAAATCTTCAACCTCATCCGGTTTTGGAGCTCAAAAATTCAACAAAAACCTTGAAGATCCTAAAAATGCAAACTTAGAACCCTCTGAATGGATTTTCAGAGTTGGATTACATCATGATTACATGTATTAGTTGTAGAGGGGATCATTAATTTATGAGTAGCAGAATTTAGACAAGTACTGTGAAGTAAGGTAAAGTATGTGAAGGAGTAGAGTAAGATAAAAGTGGTCAGTGGTGACCAAGGGTTAATTTAGCTGAGAAATCCATATCTGAAGTCAGAAGTAGGAAATATCTTATGAGTAAAAAGTTATGATAATATTGTAGTGGGAAAAGATGGTAAAAGCAGTCTTTTGGCCAGCTGCGCTGGCTCTAAGGCTGACAGAGGAGCCCACCTATTGAGGTTAACTTACATGCCATTTCAAATGCCCCATTTTGGGCTCTTTGGATGAGTCTCATCCCAACAAATTAATCCTCAACAATCACAATGACCAGCAAAGGCCCCCAAAACAATCACTCAGTTTGCATTAGGGTTTAGAACCGGTCACCGACTACCCGGCAGTACTCAACCGGGTACGGGTCGGTTCAAGTTCCGGGTAGACTCGAGAGACATCCGAAAACCGATCGGATCCATGCACAGGGCGAGACTGTAGCATGATATCCCTGTCCTTGGGTCGGGATCGAACTGACAACCTCTTACGACACTCTTGTTTCTTGCAGAACAGTGCCTTTTGAAAAGACCCGGCAGACCCAACGCCGGGTTCGGTTATACCGGGTTGGTTGCCGGGTCAGGCAATACTTGACCCGGTCGGCCGGATCTAAACCCTAGTTTGCATCACCAACCGGACGGAAGTAGTCACTTCTCAAACCAAAACTTAAGCACTTCACTTGCTGTGGAGTGATTTTTTACAAGGTACTTTGGATTGAATTGCATAGCTGACAGCTCTTGATCAAAGGTGGATCAGTCAACAGTGTCTTGAATGAACTACATCCCTGGGAATGTAACAGCCGCTATGTATATTGTGGATTTAAATATGGTGATGAATCAGGAGCACATGGAGTGCCTCATTTCTACCATTGAGTCTTTATCTTGTTGAATGTGCACACACACACTTTTTAGGGAAACAGATGCCAAAAAATGAAACTTGAATGCAAATAAATTGCTTTGTTTTTCACAATTCTATGATAGTGTATGCAGTTTCAAAGGGTGCAAGTGGAGCTGCATGGGCATGCATGAATACCAAAACTGGCGTACATCAATTGATCCTTTTGTGTTGCTCAAAGAGTTTAGGAGTCAAGCCCAATTTTAAATATGTACACTAACAAAAATATTATGAATAACAGAATCTCTTGCGTAATGCTAACAACTGACTGAAAACTGTTTTAGCCTTTTGAAGATGGGGCAACTGAATTTTCTTAAGCAAACATAAGCCTTGCTAGATGTCAATTCTGCCAGCCTCTAGTATAGCAATCTAGTTCTTCCATTGCACTTCAGCTTGATCCACAAACTTTTTCCTTATTGAGCCCTTTTATTCTTTGGTTACCCATAGCTTCAGGGGGAGTTGATTTACATCTTAGAATTAAAAAATCTCAGCATGCCTAGCTATCCTGATTTTTATCAAATCTAGACAACATCTTTTGTTTAATTGTGTAACAATTCAACACATGATATTTATTAAGGACCTGTACCGTATGAAAACAATCACATATTATCAAAATTGGCCATAACTAGCAGCTAGACTTTGGCCTGAAAGTGATGAATTTCAACATCAGAACTCTCCAATTGTTTCCAATTTTTTTGGTGGTGTAGAAGAAGGAAAAAATGCTCAGTTTTCAAAATTGAACCCCACACTACAGGCCCTAGCAGTTGCTCCATAGATCAATTCATGTTAGCAATGGTCAGATTGATTATTTTGCTAGGTGAGATATATATTTATACTTAGATATAACTTCCAAGAAATCACACTATTTTATATATAAATATCCTACAATACAGGCCCTAACATTTGATCCATAGGTCAGATTGATAAATTCATATTAGCAATGTTCAGATTGAATATTTTCCCAGGAGAAGAATATAGTTATATTTAGCTCCAACTTCCAAGAAATCACCCTGTTTTTATGTATAGCTCTCTGCAAACATATCTCCCAGAATTTCTCTTTTTCTATGTATCACCCATTCATTTTGAGATTCATGCAAGGGAAACATCATCTAAACTCTAAAAAATCATCATCACATATCTTGTGAGCAACCTGAATTCTTAAAATTCACATATGAGTATGCAAGAACCAAGAAAAAAAAGCCACCAGAAAAAAAGAATGACATGGGAGGTAAACATTGCTTCCAAAATTCTAGGCTTGGATACAGTTAGGTCCAGGATGTTTTTTCAACTTAGCGTGGATTCTTGCTATGAAGAACTTGAAGGTATACTTGCCCATCAAGGTGTGCTGAATCATCTCTAGCTAATACCATCAAGGGGTTTGCCCTATGCCAAGAAATGCTTTTCTGTTCATTTGGTTGGAATGTGACAAGGCCTTCCATCCCATTCCAAATTCGCAAAATGTTGTTGGTGTCATTCTTGCAATGCAATGTGAAAACATAACCGTTCTGGATGATCCCATTGGCCTGTTGGTTTGGGGCAACAGTTAAAGGGAGATAATTTTCAATAATCAAGTTGCCATTGAAGGAATAGTACTTATTTGAATTATAGGTGACTTCTTCTGCAAGACCCCAGACATTTGAAATCATTGCAAGTATGGCCAATGGTAGGACAATAAACTTCATGATGTTTTTTTGGATTCAGAGGACCTCCCAAGGTTATAAATTGAGTCAAAGTGCACAGATTTTGCAAGTTATAATACAGTTGGGAGATGGTCGTGTTTAAGTGTCAACAAGTTTGGCCTTGTAATTTTTTTCTGTGAAGTACATTCATGGTCATCAGCACTCATAAATACCTAGGGGATGCAGAGATAATTGGCTGAATATGATGGTCCAAAACTCATAAAGATTGAATTATGCAGATAAGATTAAGAAAGAAGAAGAAATCAAAACTAGATTTACCTGTTTTTGACTTCTGAATCAGGAAAATTTAAGCAGCAGCAACAAGATGCAAAATCCTTCACCAATTTGATGAGAGGGGTC